GGCCGGGCAGTGGCGCCGGCTTCCGGAGGGCCTCGGTTTCCCCGCCCGGCGGTACCAGAGTCGAGGCGCGATCTGTGCCGGGACCAGCTCCCCAAGAGGCAGTGCTGATGAAAACAAGTTAAAAAGAAAGCCAGGAAAGCGTTTGCTCCATGGAAACACAGGCACGCCGATCAGATCGCGCCACCGCGCCTTTCTGGCTGCGTCCGAACCCCCGGGCCTCCTGGGCCCCTCTGACCTGCCCTGGGCCTGACAACTCGAGGGCCCAGTCGCGGGAGCTTCGACACCCAGCCTGACGCAGCCCGCTGGCCACTGTAGGTCGGGACGTGGCTTGGTTCTTGCATAGCACTTTGCGCTGTGTTGCATTCTCTTGCTCATCTGTCTGTGCATTTATTCACTGTTTTGTTAGTGTGTATTTGGGACTGGATCTCCCTATGTATTTCAGGCTGGCCCTGAATTCACTGTGTAGCCCAGGCTGGCCTCAACCTCTCAGTGACGCTCCTGCCTCAGCCTCTTATTACTTATGACGCCGCCTTCCACTTGCTAGGATGGGCGCCGGGCCTTGTCTACTCCGCGTCCCTTACACCTGCAACACCGGGCAGTATTCGGCCCTGGAGTATGAGTGAGAGGGACGGTGTCTCTGCCACCCCCCAGGCTGAACTGTGACTCCAGGATGCTATGGAAGGGACGCTGGGGCTGGGGTTAAGAGGTGCCCAGAAAACGCCAGCCTGAACGGAGTCTGGAAGGGGAGCTAATTTTAGCAGAGGGCTGGGATCAAAGCCAAAGGTGGCCCTGGAGAAGCCACCAAACTTGGGCTAAGCCGTCGTGAGAGGAGAGGCCCGAGGCCAAATCCCAGACACCGGGGGCCACCTGGACTGTGGGCTTCGACCCGCTCAGGGTGAGGGAGTAGGGCTGCTCTGGAAGTTCTCTGTGGTTGGCACATGCATTGGAACAGGGCAGGAGGGAGAGGCTGAGGGACCTGGTAGACAACGCAGAGACTTCCTCCAGGGAGGGCCCGCGGACAGCAGAAGAGAGGCCAGGTCTGCAGAGGCTGCATGTGGCAGGCAGGGTCTCAGGACCCTTCCCCAGGCCATCTCTGGAGAGGGGACAGAAGGCGGGGCTGAACGTGGCGAGATCCTGTGGGATGTGAGTCCGAAGCGCTTGTGGGACCGGGCAGTGTGAGTGTGTGCAGGCTGGCGCTGAGTGTGTCCAGCTGGCGCTCAGCGTCCTGGCGTAGCCAGGTCCGGCATTCTGAGGCTAGGCTTGGACTCCGCACACTTTCTGGCTGCCCTGGGAAACCCACAGCCCCCTTTGGTAAACTGCTGTGCTGGACGAGATGACTTCATGTCCAGACGTCCTCTGCCAGACGGCGCGGCCTGTGGCCTTCTGCCCGGCGAGCCTCTGGGCAGAGGTCTGGCGCTGCTTCCGCAGGCAGTGGGGGTTTTCAGCTGAAAAATGTGGACAGTGTTCTGCTACCTCACAGGGTCCTCCTAAACCTGTCACTGCTCGCACCAGGAATAAAGTCACTCACACACTGAAAGAAAAAAGGAGAGGGACAGAGAAGAGGAAAGCAGAAGGCTCTGCCTGTCCAAATTCTTCTGCCACGACGCTTTCTCCTTGGTCAAACTCCCTGTGCAGGAGGAAGCAAAGGAAAATGAAAGGGCTGTGATTGGAAAGTTAAAAGATTCTTGTTCAGTCTGGCATAGTGGCGCATGCCTGAGATCCCAGTGCTAGGAAGGCTGAGGCAGGAGGTTCATGGCAAGTTTGCGGCTGGACTACATAGTGAGTTCAAGGCCAGCCTGAACTACAGAGTGAGACCTTGTTTCAACCCCCCCACCCCCGCCTTAATGACTTTATTTCTGGAAAGGCTGCTAAAAGCTTATTTGGAGTATACTTCTGTATCTTCTTTAGGGATTACACGGACTGAAGAATGCCTGGATAGCTTTTAGAAAGTATTTTTCTGCTCTGCAGAAAGAACACATAAAACCTAGTTGTAGAAACTGATGTTCGATTGCAGATCCATTTGCTTTGTAGATATATTCAGTAAATACAGTTTTTCTTTCCAGTGATAAAGGAGCCTTATTTGTTGTCAGACTTTTTTTTGAGACAAGTTGTCACTGTGCAGTTCAGGCTGGCCTTGAACTCGCAGTGATCCTCCTGCCTCAGCCTTCCATGAATCCTCAAAAATCCTCCCTCCTGCCTTGAACGCATTTATCCCATATTCTGGCCATTTTCTGCAGCAGCTCTGGAAGTCCTTTTTTCTGAGTGATCAAAAACACAATGAGTGCTGCTGATGCTGAGCGCCATCTAAGGGAAAGGCAGCTCCTAAGAGCAAGGCTGTGTCCTTGTCCGCGATCTGGCGCCACGTGACTTCCATCTCATGCCCAAGGTCAAAACGACTGTGAAAGGTCAATGTTTTGAATCAATTCAGGACATCGAGGCAGCAACGACCACACAGCTAAGGTGCTTGTGTGTCTGTGTGGGGACACGAACATGGTTATCTAAAGCTGCTGTTTGTCACATCTCCTGACTATAAACAACCTGCTGTGGTCAGAGGGCTTGGCCCTTGGGTCACTGCGCTGTGGGCCTTTTCCAAGGGCCTGGTGGGGTGTTGCTAGGTTTCGGGGTTTGCCTTGGGGAGGGGTTAGTGGTCACAGTGGGGACCCCAGGTTAGGTTAAAAGGTTGTTACAGAAGAGCAAGCCCTTGCTCCCTCTCTGGGCCCCTCCCTCCTGGCTTCTCTGGCCTCCTTCCTTGTACCAGGGCTCCAGCCACCACACCATCTGCCACAAGGTCCTTATCAGGGCTGAACTCACCTGCCACACCTGTGAGCTAACTAAATTGCTTTAGAAAGTCACCCGGCGGGTTGTGGTGGTACACTGCAGCAATCCCAGCACTTGGGAGGCTGAGGCAGGAGGATCATCTTGAGTTTGAGGCCAGCCTGGGCCTCACAGTCCAAGGACATTTTTTTTTCTCAGTACTGGGGATTGAATCAAGATCCTGTGCTTGGCAAGCAGTCATGGTGCTGAGCTACATCCCAGCCCTCAAGGACATCTTGAACTATGTAGTGAGACCCTCTCTCAAAAAATAAATAAAATAACAAAGTCACTTGGCCTCATGTATTTCATTATAGTAATAGAAAGCTGAATAATAAATAATCGAAATATCCACCAATAAAAATAAAAAAATGCAGCCGTTCCTATGAACTACTGTGATGTACACAATGAGACAGATGATCTCAGAATAATTAATCTCAGTAAACAAAGCCAGAGTCCCCCCAAAAGCATGTGCTGTGGGACTGTATTTGTGTGTAATTTCAGAAATGCAGGGCGGGGATTTAGCTCAGTGGTTCGGTGGCCTGCCTTGCAAGCACAAGGACCCGAGTTCGATCCCCAGTACCAAAAAAAAAAAAAA